CAGAACCGTCGATCCCCCCCCCCCCCCTCCTTTTGGCTAAATCTGCTTTTTGTCTTTCTATGCATCTTCATCTTTGTACAGGAAGGAAGAGCACACCATCATCCTGTCGCTCGCAGACGTACTTCTAAGCCCCGCGATGCCGGGGGGGGGGAAGTGTCGCTGTGTCGCGTATACATAACTGCGACAGCATACAAACGGGCTCCGCGTGTTGGCAGCTCGTAAGCGACGCCGCACCGAGCTCTAATATGACGTGACCTCAATAAACGAGTTATGAGGGAGGTGCGAGGCGACCTGTGAACATCTTGTTTGCAAACGCCAGGGTGGAACGTGCTTGTGCCGCCGCCTGACTTCCAATTTCTCGCCTTCCTGAAAGCCCTGGACGGTGAACCCGGGCTATTCGTGGGCGTTAGGGATCGAACAACATTCCAAATACCAAAAAAATGATCGATTAGTCGACATGCTCTGGTCTCCAAAAAGTTTAGAATCGCCTATATTAATAATTAAAACCACAAGTATCAAACCTGAGGCCCAGGGCCCAGATCTACTGGAGCTCGCTGGGAAGTACTTACAGAAACACTTTTCTGGCTCATTTTTTTTTTTTTAATTGTGTTTTGTATTAATCCTGACTTAAAAAATTTAATGATGTCATGAAAGTCACATAAATGGTGTATGCTTTTTAGAGAGCCAAAATCTTGCGTTTGGGATGTGGGAGTTGTTTGCAGAACTCGGTGCCAAGTTGAAGCATATGTGTTTGAATGCAGAATCCATTTTTGCAGGACTTCAACGTGAGATAATCAACCATGATAGTCGAGCAAAACACTGGTCAAAAAATGTTGACATTTTTTTAAATCAGTCAAGTTTTCCAGGTGGATTTTTTTGGGGGGGGGTTCCGAATCTACTCTCGTTTTTTTCTCATTGTTTGGGGAGACATGAAATCCATCTTTGATTAAAATTTGCTATCGACTCGTGTCATTGACGGCCTTTGAAATGCATTGGGAGGAAAAAAAAAGTACTCTCGTACCCCAAAAAGAAAGACATTTTAATATTTTAAAATCGAGATTGTTTTCCAAATTACGACTCTGGGGAAAAAAAAAAAAAGAATAGTTTGAAATTACCACCTACCGTTACCACCGAACACGAGTCGGAATGGCAAGATTAAAAGCACCTCTTTGTCACAAAAAGGTCCAAAATGCACATGCCATGTTGAGACTTTGGAGACATCCCGTTATCCCGTTAGGCCGCAGGTCCAACCTTGGTCAATTCCCCCCCCCCCCTCCTCCCCCCTCCTTTGAGTAAGACGTTTGATGTGTTTGTGTGTCAGGGTCGAATGCTCCATTGTGCAGTGCTCCAATCTGGCCAGGGCAGATAAGAGCAAGCGCCTCACCTCAAACACTCTCCAACCCCCGACGACCACAGCCCGTCTCGTAGAACGGGTTTTATTACACAAAGAGTTTCGTTGGGAGTGTGTAGTGTACTACTAGGTGTGTGTGTGTGTGTGTGTGTGTGTGTGCGTGTGCGTGTGCGCGCGCGCAGACTGTCAGATCTCCCTGGATTAAAAAATCTCTTAATCCCATCAGATCCCCATCCGCTCAAAAAAGTTAGCGGCTCGCAAAATGTCGGAATGCTACGGCTCACTGACTTCCGCTCCTCCGGTTTACGAGCGGCCGAGCCAAACATGAGCCGGTCCTTCAAATATGGCCGCACCTCTCACTTCTCATTTGGATCAGCGGCTTTTTAATTGGGTCTCTTTGGCGCCGGGCTAATCTCCCCGCAAAGTTGAGAGGACAATCGTGTCGAGCGGTGGTTCTCAAACTTTATGGGCCAAGAACCAACTAAAAAGTTCTGAGCCCTCTACAAGTTCCACCAACATTCCACAACTTTCCTCAAAAAAAAAAAAAAATATTCATCCCTGAAAGGTGGATTCATTTCCCGTCGTCGTAAACATCGCAACACATCGTCAGATGATGATGCTCGCAGGCAAATGTTGCTGTCATAGATGAATAAAGGACACGGGGGGGAAAACAAACCAACCGAACAAAGAAAATGAATCCTTTCCGACCCATTAAGCACAATTGGATCATTTCCGGCAGCCCAACTGATGAGCGGTTGGGAATTCAATACTGCTCGAGATGACCCTCCAGTCCCACATGAATGCTCACGTTTGATCATTAACCGTGCGAAGCTATTCCTGATCAAGTCAGCTGCTCCTTCAGTCAGTCTCAAATCTGAGTTGGGAGCTACATATGGATTGATCAGAAATGGCACGTAACATCGCTCGTCACGTGTCGTATCGACAAAATAAACATCAAGATGTGCGCGCCGTAACGCACAGATGCTTTTTGTAGTCATGTTTTTGTTGTTTCGCTGCACACCAAGACGTTATGTACAATGGTTCTGATTGTTTTTTCTGTCACCTTTCACCTTCAGAGATGCTTGTTTTTTAACCCCTCAACAGCTCTCTGGTTTTCATGTTGGCGACACCTTTTGAACTAGTATAAATGTCAATACCCAAAGCAGAAACCCATACACCAGATTAGCGTTGCACTTTATTTCCATGCTAAATATACCAACCGTACTAGTGCCACTCCCTTCGGACTCAAGCCTGGATGCGCTTTTAACGGTGGAAGCTGGGGGGGAAAAAAGTTTTCAAAATAAAAATAAAAATACAATTTTCAAAATAAAAATCATCCTGACAATTGAAAAGCGAATGGATCAATGAGCTGCCCGGCTCGGGCTGAGCAATGAATCAAATAGCAAATGTCATACACTGCAGTTTTTCAATTCGCAAAGCCTGCAATTTGGAAACAGAAAAAAAACAAAAAAACTGTGCTTCGTTTTGGTCAATCAACAGCCCCCCCACCCCAATATGTATCATTTATATAGTGTTCTAATCAGCTATATCCGATGTCACTTTTTTCTTTTTTTCAAGGCTGATACCAGTACGAGTAAGTGTTTACTCTCGAGTAATCGCCAATATAGATACCAAGCACCGATACCACTCAAATTTACGATACATAACATTTCAGAGAACACAATGACAGGTAATTCTGAACAAAAACCTTTGTCTTCCTGACGCACCCGATGACTCACTGACGTGTCAGACAGCCGCAGTGTCACAACAATTACTGCCAAGATAGACTTGCAATGTTTTTTTCATGAGGTAGTCGTGGCAAGTATCGATTCTTCAAAAGTACCCGACACTTCGAAATTAGCCTGGTATTGACCCGAAACCGGGTATCGATACTCGCTTATCCCGAGTCTGAATAGTTCAGTGACTAAGAGGTGCAATCCACATGTTACCATATCATTTGAAGTGATCAAGCCACATATTTCTTGACATTATTGTTGTTGTCTAATTTAGGATTTATTGACTTATGCTTGGTACAGTTTTGTAAAGTTTGCACCCCAATTATTATTATTATTTTTTTTTTTTTGACACAATTTTACATCCATACAATTGAACTTTATTTATTACTTGATTTGCAGTTGACGTAGCCCATTCGTTCATTGAAAAAAAGGAATGTGACTTTTGAGTGCAAGAATTTGCCCACTCCAGCTATTTTTTCCTAGTATAAATGTCAATACCCAAAGCAGAAACCCATACACCAGATTAGCGTTGCACTTTATTTCCATGCTAAATATACCAACCGTACTAGTGCCACTCCCTTCGGACTCAAGCCTGGATGCGCTTTTAACAGTGGAAGCTGGGGCGGAAAAAAGTTTTCAAAATAAAAATACAATTTTCAAAATAAAAATCATCCTGACAATTGAAAAGCGAATGGATCAATGAGCTGCCTGGCTCGGGCTGAGCAATGAATCAAATAGAAATCGATATCGCAATGTCATACACTGCAGTTTTGCAATTCGCAAAGCCTGCAATTTGGAAACAGAAAAAAAACAAAAAAACTGTGCTTCGTTTTGGTCAATCAACAGCCCCCCCACCCCAATATGTATCATTTATATAGTGTTCTAATCAGGGATATCTGATGTCACTTTTTTTCAAGGCTGATACCAGTACGAGCGAGTGTTTACTCTCGAGTAATCGCCAATATAGATACCAAGCACCGATACCACTCAAATTTACGATACATAACATTTCAGAGAACACAATGACAGGTAATTCTGAACAAAAACCTTTGTCTTCCTGACGCACCCGATGACTCACTGACGTGTCAGACAGCCGCAGTGTCACAACAATTACTGCCAAGATAGACTTGCAATGTTTTTTTCATGAGGTAGTCGTGGCAAGTATCGATTCTTCAAAAGTACCCGACACTTCGAAATTAGCCTGGTATTGACCCGAAACCGGGTATCGATACTCGCTTATCCCGAGTCTGAATAGTTCAGTGACTAAGAGGTGCAATCCACATGTTACCATATCATTTGAAGTGATCAAGCCACATATTTCTTGACATTATTGTTGTTGTCTAATTTAGGATTTATTGACTTATGCTTGGTACAGTTTTGTAAAGTTTGCACCCCAATTATTATTATTATTTTTTTTTTTTGGAGGGGGCCTCAAAAAAATAATAATTGAAGCAGATAAATCACCTTTCGACTGATTTGATAGATCACTTGCTTTTATTTTAGCGTGAGGCTAACCTATAAGACTGGAACATTTATACGTAATAAATCAAATCTATTTTATTGCATCACAGATGAATTTATTGCTTACTAACTGCATAATCAAACGAAACCGCTCTGACCTCCTGCAGGAAGCTCCGCAATGAACAAGCTACGGCAGAGCTTCCGGCGGAAGAAGGACATCTACGTGCCGGAGTCTAGCCGGCCGCACCAGTGGCAGACGGATGAGGAGGCGGTCCGAAGCGGGAAATGCAGCTTTGCGGTCAAGGTGACACTCGCGTAAACACACTCCCAAATTCCTACCGCCTTGACCTGATTGCGACGCACACACATTTCGCCCGGGAGCGACGCTTTGTGACTCGAGGATGTAACGTGTGATTTAATCGCTAGCCTTCAAAAAGTGTTTGTACACTCCGAAACGTTGTGTTGTGTAAGCGGACGCCAAATAATGTGATTGTCCTGCTCTCGTTGGACTCGATGACTACAGGCCCGCAACCGAAGGGAAAAAAGTTTTTTCGTCACGGTCATGACAATGCCAATCGGTTGTCTCTGGCCACGCTTTTGGAGTTGCTGCTGTTCTTGTCTGAGTCAGTGGAGGAGGGTTTCACCTTTTTACTTTGGTGTTTGTTGGTATTTTGTTTAAAAAAAAAAAAGAAAAGAAAAAAATCAATAACTTCAGTTTCTTTGTTCATGTTACTTTGAACAAGGTTATTTTTGTTTTAATGACATGAATTAAGGAAGCTTAACTTCGATGCATGAATGATTCCCGTCGCGGGTATGGTCATAGAAAATGTTTTACAAATTCATAGCATGAGCAATTTGCATTTTATTTATTTATTTTAATTATTTATTGGGTCGGCGGTTAACTTTGCTGTCTCCTTGATGGCATGGGAATATAAAGTGTAAAACTCTGACATTGAAAAATATATTTCCAATTCATAATTTAGAATTAAAAAAAATCATTTGGATATAAACCCAACTAACTCATTTTTTTCCATTTTATTTTTATTTGTTTTTATTTTTTGCTTACTAAACTTTGTCGTTGACATAATAGTTTAAAAATAATGTGAAATGGATCAGTAATTTTTGTTTCCATTCTTTCCTTTCCAGTGATTATTTCAATTCTTTTTTTTTGTTTTAATTGTTCTTGAACATTTTATTGAGGCTATCCCTTGATGAATGGCAATTTAATGTAGAATGTAAATCTGTCATTCACTTAAAAATTTTTATTTAACCCCCCCCCACACACACACACACACACACGTTCATGCGCACAATTTGTCTCATAGGCGCTGCAGGTGAACCGACGGGGTGTGGGTGGCGAGAGTCGACTATTTTGGCAACAAAAGTTTTCTTATGCAAACAGAAGCGCAACAGCTTGCTTCCTCTCATCGCCACAGAAATGAAAACTGGAACATCAAGAGATAGTAAAAACGCGTGAATCACATAACATGGAAGTGAGTAAATGTCTACAACGGCCCAATCAGCCAAAGGAGACATTATGCCGACATGTAAATGCTCTCAGATGAACTCAAGGGCAGTCACGCTTCCCTTCTCGCAGAAAATGACCAGAAAATCAGATCTTGATATTCAGCACAAGTCAAATCCTCCGAAGTGCATCTGAAAATGCAAATACAAACCGAGGAAAATTGAAAAGAAAAAAAAAAAAGTACGCAACTTAGATTTATCACACTCCTCTTTGCGTCTTGTGCTTTAGCGGTCACACTTTGACATTTTCTTTTTCCTTTCTTCCCCCCGGCTCCCTCATGCACCTCCTCGAGGTACCTCCAAAGAGTGGAACGGTGTGTGGGATCGTTCCACCGGCTCATGTGGAAATATCTCCCGTCTGCCGCACCGAGGTTTGATGGCTCGCTCGGTAGGGAGGAAGGGAGGAGGCGGTTCAAGTAGGAGCACGGTGTACGGTCTGCTGTGTTTCAATGAGCCGCCGTTCGTGCGTCAGAGTCACGCTGACATTTGCTAGACGTCTGATTCACCGTTCGAGGCCATTTAGAAAAAGTACTTTCATTATAATGGCTTACTTACCGCGCTGCCAAAGGATGGAGACGGATGTGGTGACAATCACAGGGGTTGCTTACTCAGAGTCGGATTAATCACGTCACAGCGCATGATAGGGCCGAGGAAAGTGAGCACGAAACAAGAACCGTTTTATTGAGAGGTGGTAAGTTGGTTCGGGAGTTTTTTGGTTGGCTATGTAGTGTGTGGATTTGGTGCATGAGGTTTTTTTTTTTTTTTTTGGTTGGTTGGTCAAGTTTGTTGGTGTTACTCGACAAAGACAAAACACCTTTGAGGCCAGCGTAACGACGAGTCTTGAACGCAACAGGACAAGGACTTCTTTGTCTTTTCTATTTATTAATCAAGAAATTATACAATAAAAAGGGGGTCTCTTTGTTTGTTTTTTTTTTGGTCAAAAAACTATATCGGTTCTGACCTCATCTGTCTCTCATGTCCAGCTCCTTCTTCTCTGCACTGTCGCCAGTCACGTGACGTCCAACAAAGAGATATTCTAACATTCTACAGTGTATCTTAAACAAATGGAATCTAACATATGCGTAAAATAATAATGGCAACTATCTCAACTAAGTTATGAAATACTCCACTTCAACGTATCAAGACTACACGACATATGGAACGCGCCACAAAAATCGACCAATATTAAATTGTCAGTCGGTTTTTGAATTGATTATTCCTCCACGTCCTAAATATGGTCGCGTCGGCCCGTGAGAGACACTTGAGTGAAGCGTCTGTCACGAGTCCACCAGCCTGACATGACACACGGGCGTCTGAGTCCCTTTCCAACAGCGGTCGGCACTTCCCATTTGTCCTCGCCGCGCACGGCCGCAACCTCACATCAGCGGCATCCTCGTGGGCACGCGTGCGGCTCGTGCGTATGGAGCTACGCCGTGACTCACGAGCGTGGCGTCACGCTCTGGAAATAGCGCCGCTGGCCCTCCAAGGGCAGGGTGGTCCGGCGCGGGTCAGTGTCGCTCGCCCCGTATCTGCGAGGAAAGGGTAAGGACTTCCTCTCGGTGCGCACAATGGCTTCTGACGTTCCCGAGTGACACGCAGAAAATGGGATTCTGCCGAAAGGCGAGGGCTCGTTCCTGACGCTCTGCGCCTGAGCCTGCGGTGCAGCGCAGCCAGAGGAAACCGGGCAGGAACAGTCTTGAGGAGTTGGCTCCGTCTCATGTTGAAATAGTGCAAAAGTGCAGCGGCGGGTCACCTTTAGATAAGAATGAGTTAATGAATGTGCACATCCTCAAGAGTGGAATTTTGTTTTTCCGTCTTCTGTGGGTTGGCGAGTGACATGAATGTCAATTTTACATTTGGGGATAAAAAAAGTATCCTCATTTCCAGGTCACATCTCTGCGTTTGTAGTTTGATTTTCAGTTTGTCAGCCAGTTTGTTGAGTTGCAAAGTTATTTTTGGAGTTTGGAATTGGTCAGTAGGTCAGTTAATTCTATGTTCGGTTTTTTGAGGGGGTTACTAATTCATTTGGTTCATTTGTGGTTGGTTCTTCAGTTAGGCACTTCAGTTGTTAGTTTCCTTGTTTGTTTTGAATTTCTGAAGCACTCTGTTACAACTGTTGTGAAAGCAGTGTATAAATAAAGACATATTGGTGCTTGGTTGGCTAGTTAGTGGGTTAAATTGGTGGTTTAGTCAGTTAGTTTGCTCACTGATTTATTCATGAGGCGCTTCTTGGCAATGTAGATTGTTGAGTGGTTAGTTTATTGATTTTGTGCGTTGGTTAGTTTGTTCGTGACTTATTTTTTTATTTGCTTATTGCTTGGTTAAGTTGATTGTTGGTTGGTTCGTTTGATTGAACTGGTTGACCAGTTAGTGGGTTTGCTGGTTGGTTGATTAGTTTGTTTATTGTTGGGGTTTTTTTTTTGTATCTTAGTTTGTTGGTTTATTTGCTTGATTAGGTACATTGTTGGTTGGTTTGTTGATGTAGTTGATCTGTTAATGTGCGACTATTAATTGGTCGGTTAGTTAGTTTTTGCTTGTTTGGTTGGATAGTTTGGTGTTGGTTGGTTTGCTGGTTAGTTATGTTGTTTATTGGTTGTATATTAGTTGGTTGGTTCGTTCATTTCTTGTTCGACCAGTTAGATTGTTGCTTGGTTTGTTAGTTCTTAAATTAGTTGGTCGGTTTAGTTATTTTAGTCATTTAGTTATTTTAGTCATTTAGTTTGGTTTGTTGATTAGTCCAGAGTTGTACTGAACAGGTTCACAAAAACATCGAAGGTTGGTCAAAATCTGCTTGCATTAGGACGAAGTGGGGCACTGCCCCAACAGATCTAGCAAATAGAGCTGTGGTTTAAAAAAAAAAAAAATGTAACATGCACTCCCGCAACCTCCACGACTGGAGCGGTCCAGCCAGCGCACGTCACGATGGATTAGGGTAGTTCTGCCCTGTGCCGTTCTAGTTTGAAACGTGAACTTTTCCTCCGGCGCGCACTGTGGAGATTTCATCCCATGATGCATCTCCTACCCAAGTGCTGCGGGAAAGAGACTATTTTGTTTTAATCCCGGATTAGGATTAATCATATCTTTGGTAGAGGACACAAGATGAGACATCATGTTCTTTGCCCATTGTACTCAGGCCGGTCTGCTCAGTTCAGACGCTCTCGTTACACGCCCTCACTCTTTCCATATTTCACGTCGGCAACTGTCGCATGAGCTCTCGCCAAATGCAGCGACTCCGTTGTGTCCCTCGTTCCTCCAGAAATGGCGAGGGATCGTCTGAACTGCGACTGACCTTGTGATTGTATTTAATTATGTGTATAAATCAGCAGGGCCAAGATGCCAGGGGCATACAAGACTCATTCAAAGAACCAACCTCGTTGTACACGTTTATGATCACGGCCTTTTGTTTTAATCACGCTCGGTGCGCCTCGGGGAACCTTTTTCGCACCATATCTCACTTTGGTGTGTGTTTGTGTCTTCCTGCAGTACTTGGGACACGTGGAGGTGGAAGAGTCGCGGGGCATGCACATCTGCGAGGACGCGGTCAAGCGGCTGAAGACGGTAGGTTTTCCTTGGAAAAAAAACACTGGAACAAGAAACCCCTTCTTCCTCTTGTCTGTGTACTCCAGGGATTCTTTCCCGCTCCAGAAGCTGTTTTTCGTCAACTTCCACTCTGCTCCAACATTCCCTTTTCCTCCTTCTCACTCTGTTGGCCGCATATATTTGGGGCGTGAGGGCAGGGGAATCTTGCCGGTCGAGATTCCCGACCCTGTCGTGAACTCATCGCCGCTCTGGAGTAAAGACTAAAGCTCGGCTTCGGGGCTCTTTCTCACTATGATCACAACGAGCGTTCAGGAGGATTAAAAGCATCACAGTCAAACTTTAAAGAGCCTGTTAAAAAGTTAATTAGTTAGGTTGAAGGGGAAAAAAGGTGAGTTTTGTTTCTAAATGCAATACAGTGGTACCTCGACTTACGAAATTAATTGTTTCTAGAAAATTTTGTAAGTAGGGACGCGTTTTCCATGTAAATGCCCTAATCCGTTCCAACCCTCCCTGCCCCTCCAAAAAAAATAAATTCTGACATAAATGTTTTCTAAAGCATAAAAATGCATCAAAATCTCTAACAAATACATGTTACAAATATATTATTGGAATAATAAATGAGTTGTGCATAATGTAAAAAATAAAGAATAAAAATGATGGTCATTTCACTTTTAACTGCATCCTCATTGTTTTTTTTTGCCCTCTTTAGTTCGTGTTCTCTCTCTTAAGTGGCTTTTGCCTGCTGTTTTGGAAAGAACTGATTCAAGGGCGTTTGCTTTTGTCGGCTTTTAACAATCATTCGAAAATGTCCAAGGCAAATATCAGCATAGTGAGCGATTGCCCGATTGATGAACACCGAAGGGCGAAATACGAGGGCCCTGCATGGACACATATCTATCTATCTAGATCTATCCAGCCATCCTCCTGGCTCTCAAACTACCTCCAAAGGCGAAAAGTTGGCAACTTTTAAAGCTCTGTGAATGTATTAAAAAGGACGGCGGTGCACATAAATGTCCGTATCAACACAGACACGCAGTCGTATCGCCCAAAGGTATCTCGTGTGTATGTGCGCGCGAGAGCGAGCGATGGGAATGTACGTACATGCACAATACATCTCATGGATGAAAAAAATCACCCACACTCTCAGGCGTATGGATGGTTTCTACACGATGTCCCCCGCCAGTACACACATACCACACAAGCATCAGCAGCACATACGCGTCGACGCTTGACAAGGACACTTCAAGCCCGAGGTCTCTCTTTTATCGCTTTGGCGTGGTCGGACAACATGGAGCCAGCCTCCCCTCCTCCGGCGGCCGCTGACCGTCTCTCGTCCCTCAACCTAATGACATTTCTTTGGCTCGCGCTGAGGTCCGGATGCCCAGCGGTGGATGGACAGTACACTCGTGACATTTGCATCGTGTGTGTGCATAGACGTGTGCTCGTGTAAGCGGGTGTCTCTTAGTCTATTTGTCCAAGTACAGTGTGTGTATGTGTGTCACCGAAGCCATTTAAAGTTCTTGACTTTTTTTCCCCCCAGTTTAAAAGTCAGAGGTGATGGAGGTGGGTTTTTTTTTTCCCCAAGTGGCTGATATGTAGTTCTATCATCCTAATTCATCCTCATTGATGCTTTAATATGCTAACGTTGCTTAGCCGGCTAGCAGGTCTAACAGTGACTCCATTGTATTCCCACGACTGGCGGTATTTTTCTCACGACTCCGTGTTCTGTGTTCAATCGACCTCCATACTGCCCCGACTGTCACGTCACTTCCTGTATTTTGTTCAAGTCAAGGTCAGAGTTTGTGGTATGTCAAGCCATTAAAGGTCAATGCTATATTTGGCTCGAGCTCCAAACCTACCCTGTGAAAATGAAGGCACTATACGGAGAACCAACGAAAAATATAGTTTACCCGATTCTTACGGCTTTTACACAGAACCAAGCGAAGGTTGGATTTTGCCCTAATTGGGATTCGGTGCCAACAAAGCTCAAAGAGTTCCCCGTTGTTGCAGATCTGTTCTCGTACAATGCGCCAGCATCTTTGACAGCGAGAAATGTGTACAACAGGACAGGAGAGGAGATCCACACCTTCCAAACAGAACACAGCAAAAGCCGGAGGTTGCCGAAGTGGCATTCTGTGTCAACAAAGCTCCGTTTGCGTGTGTGTATGGGGGGGGGTAAATACCAGTAGTAGAATTAATTGCTTCATTTACACAACGAACCTGCGAAGAAAAAAATATTGGGCTGAAACGAATCTCAGAATCTTTTATGTAGGACAGGCTAAAAACTTTGATTTAAGATGTTATAAGTTGGTCGAATAAAGTCCTTTTTACTTCACCTGTTTAACCTCCACTTTCCTTCCTGCTCCGAGATCCTTCCCACTTTCATACCTCCCAAAAAAGCGATTGTATTACATGTTGGTGTTATGTTTTGTTTTGTTTGTCTTTTTAAGCAGGTTTTAATTGTGCTGTTGCCCAGAAATGCTTCAATTCAACCGCCCTGCCCCTCCCCCTTCCAATTCCCAACCGTTTACTCATCTTCCCCACGCCGCCCCTCAATTTTGCTACCTGCAGCTAACCAATAGCCATCATCATCATCATCATCATCGTCATCATCATCATCATCATCTGCATGTGCCACTAACAAGCCGACTTGCTGGTTAACATGCTAGATCGCGCATTCAAACATTTTCCACCAAGGCCGGCGCGTAACAGGAGCAGAGTGGCACGCCTTTCCACGGCTTACCGGCGGGGCACAAGGAGGGAGGGAGGGTGGGGATTAAGAGTAAAGACTAGCCTGCATCTGGTTTCTTTTTGGTGGCCTCAATTTGACCCCCCCTCCCATACACACACACAACCACTCACCCAACCTTCCCTGACTGTTCAGCATTCAGAAATCAGATTCACACCATTTTTGTCACCTGTGAAAGAATCTGACCAGGGATCACAGTGGAACCTCTTACGAAAGCAGCAAAACAATTGAGAGACTTTCCCAACCCCACTGCCAGCTCGTTTTTTTGAAAACAGAAACTAGCGAGTTGAGTTCCCACTAAGAAAACGGACAAAGTGAGCAGAATCATTTTCACATTGCTTTCGGCAAAGACTTGGTTCCTATTTCGAAGTTGCAAAAGCAGTGGTTTATCCACATGAGAAACATTTGACCAGAGGTATGTGCGTCCCGGCAGCAAATGTTTCGCCGGGTTCGCCTTGACAAAACTCGACAACTTTACATGAAAAATATATGAAACCTTGGAATGGGCACTTCAGCCTGAGTACAATGCACCAAGAATTTACAAGAACCATATGATTGGTTTAGGAAAAATTCAGTTATTTTGTGTTGGGGTAAAAAATGGCTTTTTGGGAAATGCTTTAGTGTGATATCGCCGACAGAAAATCTGGTCCAGAAAAACATAAAAGACCTTGAAATTCAAGTGAAGCAGTAGAATTTTTTTTTCCATTTCTTAACATATCTCCTCGACATTTTCATCTGCTCGTCAGGAAATCCCTTCTCTGGTTGGCTGACCAGTTTCAGTTAAAAATATCAGAAAAATTCCGAATAGTTCTTCAAGTCGAGCCGTCAAAATCACCAATGCTGTTTCAAACGGTTTCCTAATGACTCGATTTGAATGGTGTGAATGGAACATTAGTCGTTGGTTTGGGCAGTACTTTATTATTTCGGTAAATGTAATTTTTATGGGGGATTTTAGAGCCATTTGAAGTGTTTTATCCATTTTTTTTTTTTAACAAAGTTGTCACGTTGCTACTTACAGACAAACTGACCAGCCTAGCCATCCAGTTTGTTAGCTTATTTTTTTATATTAAATTTTTCAACTTGGGAAATTTACATACCAGTACGTTTGCTATTATCCCAAGAAAATAAAATATTTAGTTATATTTTTTTTCTGTGGGAAGTTGATGCGTGTTTTGCCGGAGGGAGGAGAAAAAAAAATGTGTAATGGCCCTGATGCGAATATCAAAAATCGGTAAAGCCCCTATCCCACTGAGCTGTGATCATTTGTTCATGTTGCGTTCTCGTCAGGGTTCATCTCATCGTCAAACGCTCGCCTGTACTTTCCTTGTTGCAAGGGTTTTAAGGCCATATCGCCAAACCTGAGGTTGTGTGTATTTTTAATACAATAACAGAACCCTCTATAGTCAGAACTGGTTGGGTTGGTTTCATACTTTTGAGCGCTCTCTGTCAAAGCGCCACTCGTGACACTTAAACCTGCTCGGTTTATTTTTTTACGTTGTCAAATAATTTGTGCACTTCGTGTGTGTGTGTGTGTGTGTGTGTGTGTGTGTGTGTGTGTGTGTGTGGTGCTACTAACGCTGACCACAATTGATATACAATCAGTATTGATCATAATCAGTCAATCAATAATAAAACAACCCAATCAACTCCCTCCCCTTCGACCTCATACAATTTCTTCCAGGTAACACTGTCATACTTTGTCTACCCCCCATCCCTCTCACCTACCCTGTTTTTTTGTTGTTGTTGTTTTTTTTAAACAACCACCCAGGACAGGAAATTCTTCAAAGGATTCTTTTCCAAAGTAAGTTGCTGATTTGTATCCAGTCCGAGTGCCTTTCACTTTCTCTCTCTCTCTCACGTTTTAACAAGTCACCCTTTTTTGAAGGACAGATCACGAGCGCGCACACGCACACACTAAACACACAAATGCATGTGGGCCAAAGGTTGAGATCAGGGTGGGGCACTTAATTGTTTGTGTGCAAGTGGTGTTAACAACTTGTTCTCCGTCAATGAGCCAAAAAGTGGAATCATTTGTGTGAATGACCGTCAACGACACAGACACAGACAAGCACTCACGCACTGTGGTCATTGCTGTTCTAACCAACAGGGGGCACCCGAGCACCGACCTTGTTTCTTTCCTTCCGTTTGGCTTGAGTGGCGCAGCAACTTTATTGTGGATCGATCACGGGTGTTTGTATGTTAACTGAAACATGTCTCTTGTCTTTTTTTTGTTTTGTTTTTTTAACTGCACACAGGCTGGGAAGAAGGCAATACGCGCCGTGCTGTGGGTGTCGGCGGACGGTCTCCGAGTGGTCGACGACAAAACAAAGGTGAGAAAATACTGGATGCGAGGGATGTCATAATAATAATAAGAAGAAGAAGGCGAAATGCACAGCTCAAATGTTTGGGAATATTAAATCAACTGTATTTTTTTTGATTACTTTGTATTGTTTCATTGCTGTTTTTTTCTCCAATACATGGGAATATTACAGAATGTCATCTTCAAGTCGTCTGTGTAGGGTGCAAGAGGACACCTTTTTCTACACACCTTTTTCTTGCCAGTCCTTGTTGGCATTGACTGTCCAACTTTGCGTTAGGAAAGTCTCTTTAGCTTAATGCAAGCAAACAATGCAAAATGCTGTGGCCGGGCTAATGAATTATAATTCTTGAAATAAAAGATATTTAAACACCAATTATGGAGCAGCATATGTAGATGGATAGCGGGCATATATTCTTGTCTCTGAAGAACAACAACTAATAATACGGCAGTTTACTGAGGAGCTGTGATCGTCTACATTTTTATCTGTGTGTCTGCCATATACCGCCCCCTGGTGGCCAAGGCGCTCTCCAGAAGGAGCATCAATAATGTCCATTGAATTGAAGCAAAAAAACCCCAAGTATTTCTTTACATTCTGTTTGATTATGATGTTACAGTAAGTTTTTCTCAAGATCAATATTGTAGAGTGCTATTCTGCTTTTTTTGGACAGCCACAAAAAGGCCTATCCTTATCTGCAGATGAGTAAAAAAAATGTTCAGGTCGTTACTTTAGAAATGGGCTTGCACTTGAGTAGGTGCACCTGCAGGAGCAAAATCATATTCTCATAATGTTAGACTGACATCTGCTGGACAAATGGTAAAATTACATGTATTACGTCTGGACATCACCTGATGCCATTTTTTTCCCCTTTCAGTTACAAAAACAAAATACAAAATAATAAAGCACAACATAGCCCAAGTTAACCATTTGGATTGTTTATTTCAAGCTGGGATAGGCTCCAGCACCCCCCGCGACCCTAGTGGGATCAAGCGGTTCAGAAAAGGAATGAATGAATGAATGAATGTGTCATTCCTGTCCTTTGTGCTCACTCATGTGACCTGACATAATTTTGTCATTCTTCCCCCGAATACGCAGTGGGTGGAAACTGGACGGCACTAACTGTCCATTTACTCTTCCTTGAGTTGATGATTGCGCCTGACAGACAGCAATGCCTCTTTTTCGCAGGACCTGATCCTCGACCAGACGATTGAAAAGGTGTCGTTCTGCGCGCCGGACCGCAACTTTGAGAGAGCCTTTTCATACATCTGCCGAGACGGGACGACGCGCCGCTGGATCTGCCATTGCTTCATGGCCGTCAAAGACTCGGTGAGAACGAGGACGAAAAAAAAAATGGAGCAATTGACGCAAACATGACCACGCGATGCCGTACGTGAAGGGAGAGCGGCTCAGTCACGCTGTGGGCTGCGCCTTCGCCGCCTGCCTGGAGCGGAAGCAGAAGCGGGAGAAGGAGTGTGGCGTCACCGCTACGTTTGACGCCAACCGGACCACCTTCACCCGTGAGGGCTCCTTCCGGGTCACCACGGCCACAGAAGCGGCTGAACGGGAGGAAGTCATGAGGCAGCTGCAGGACTCTAAAAAAGGTGCGTGTCTAGAAACTCGCGCACTTCCCGGGATTGTTTCACTGCGGAAGTCGCTGCTCATAGGGAATATTCCATTTTAGGCTCTCAGATGATTATGTTCCCAACTCAGTGCTGATTTTCCAGGGACACGCGTTTATTCTTGGTGACTGGAGGGTATTTTCTGTTGATTCAGATGGTGGTTGGGAAGAGGTTACCTGAAAAAAAAATGTATGTGTGAATGTGGGAGGTGTGTATTTGAGAAAAGCTTTCATTTGTACTTGTTTGGAATAATAATAATAATAAATAAAACATTTTTAACGATTTTTATTTCTTTTTTAATATATCTTTCAAAGTTGTTTCTAGGTTGATTAAAATTGTTGTTTTACTAGTTTGGTATTATTTTCTTCAGCTGACGCGTGCTTTACCGGCAAAAAGACAACAAACAATAATTGAAATGATTTAACAAATTTTTAATATTTTAATCATTTATTTTCCAGCCATTATGTTAGTACTTTTATAGTCTTCCGTTTTTTTTTTTTTTTTTTTTTAAACAATAAACAAATCCCATAGTTCTATAAATTGCGGCACAAAATGACTCAAAATTTTGAATTGTAAACGCCATATTTTTTGTGGAACTGCTTTGATTAATGCTAATTAAATCCATCTTGATTTTGTTGAACGGCAAAATTATATACACGGTGTCATTGTCCATACATATTGTTATACTATAATGATTCAGTGTTTCCTAGCCACACGATTCAGGAGAGTTCTCAAATCAAACATCCAGAGAGTATTCACAGTGCCTCAATTTTCCCATAATTTGTTACAGCCTTCTTCATAGATTAAATAATGTCATTTTGTTCCCTCAAAATTCTAAAGAACTCCCCACTCGCTATGACATGAAAAGTGGAATGGGTGAAACTTCCCAAAGAGAGTTCGTGCACTCTTGTGGTATCGCACGCAAAAAGCCCTGAAGGTTTAATTCCTGTTCTCCATATTTTTTTTCCCCGACAGCTGAGAGCGACACAAAGGTGGCGGGGAACTCGTCCGGCGGCGGCGTGATCAACGTCTCCGCCGTTCAGTCGGGGAGCCCGCCGTCGCCCTCGTCCTCGCCGCCCCTCTCGCTGAACACCCTGGGTATACCCCGCCGGCACGCCCCCGCCGAGGCGCTGGCCAGGCAGGGCTCCTTCCGTGGCTTCCCGGCGCTCAGCCAGAAGACGTCGCCCTTCAAGCGCCAGCTGTCGCTGCGCATAAACGAGCTTCCCTCCACCGTGCAGCGCAAGTCGGACTTCCCCATCAGGAATGCAGGTCAGACGGGGAGCTAAGGCCACACACACACACACACACACACACACACACACACACACACACACACACACACACACACACACACGACTGCTCTTCTAATTGGCGTTTCCTCCGCTCACCCGCATTCAGTGCCTGAGGTGGAAGGAGAGAACGATAGCATAAGCTCGCTGTGCACTCAGATTACTACGGCGTTCAGCGGACCCCCGGAGGACCCATTTTCCTCAGCGCCCATGCCCAAAGCGCTCGCCTCGCCGCAGTCACCCGTTGTGCCAGGTAAACATCGCCTGACATCCCACGCCAACAACTCGTAACACCGTGGCGCACTTATCAGTATTGTCGCCATACTGCTCAAAGAGATGCATCAGGTTAGCGCAAAGCATTACTGACTTGCACAGTCAGCGCAGAACCAAAGGAGTAATTGTTTAAATATTACGAACATTTTTTGAATCTATTTAAATATCCAGAAATATAAACCAGAAGTGACATAAATTAGAGGACAAGTATTACAAGAATTGTGCGCATAAAAAGTAAGGTATTGGGATGAATCTCCAAAATATTTCTTCGAAACAAGAAAGAATAAAATCAAGCAACTCTTAATCAAAGATCACACATTTTTTTAAATACAAAAGAAGAGAAATCTGTGGTCTGCGGTGTTTGTTAATATTTTTTTAAATCGAAAAAAATGTTTGGAAAAACATTGGTGAAGAGATATTACAATAAAATACACATTTATTTGAACAAAATACGAAAATATTAAAAGGATAGAAAACATCAGACAAATATTTAAATTTGATTAAAAAGTACAAAAATATTATCTGGAAAGTACACAAATGAGAAAAAAAACCTCAATAATCCTATAAAAATATTAGAAAATACAAAGAATCGACAAATATTATTGAATGAAATAAAGACCAAAGTAAATATAGATGCTCTCTAACGCCAATCTCTCACATTGTGGACATTTCGTGAATGTGCTTGTTTTTTTTGTGACATGTTCCGCCTCGCATGTCGAACACTAAACCATCCTTCTCTTGCTCCCCGTCGTCCTCTTGTCCCTCCGCTGTAGTCAATGGCTCCGCTGCCGCTGCTCCCGCTTCCTTTTCCACTCCCCATCCTCATCCTCTCGTTCCTCCCCCGCTTCCTACTGCTGCTGGTGTTAATCCTCCAGCTCCGAGTTCAGCAGCGTTGGCCCCTGCTCTGCCCGCTCGAGACACTAACCCCTGGGCCAAGACCTCTGCTGGGGTCCCAACCTCTGCAATGGCGGGTAAGAGACATTAAAAAAAAAAAATGAGTGTAGAGTAGGGCTGTCATAAACTCATTTATTAAGTACAGATAGTGGCACTTGCGTGGGCTCCCTCTAGTGGTACGGGGAAGAATCACTGTCCAAGAACAATTTGATTCAAATCTTAACTTCCCAACTTTCTTTGATAACAAAAGATAGATGTATTTTACTTTTATGTGCAACATATTTTACTTGGATTAAGTGTGAACGTTCAAACCCTGTCTAATTTTACAGTGTCTTACAAAAATATTTTCAAAATACACTACCCATCAAAAGCTTTGAAACACTTTCTCACGCACTCGATTGATGAAGAGACTCCAAACGAGATGAAAGTCAACTTTGCGGGATTCGGACGGTACAGGATAAAATGCTCACGGGAGTAGATGGGAGCGGGTTTATCCAGTAGGTAGGCTTGTCACGACAATTATTCGATTGATTTATTGCTGATGAGGAATTTTTTTTTTCCATCTTCAAAAAATTATCATTTTTCATCTTTCATTTAAGTGTTTGTTTACACACGTCATCAACATTCAGTCGCACTGCCTCTCTAGTTTTTATGTCAGTCATCTTGCTGGCCGCTGTCCGAGTATGGGCACTCACACGTCTGCATTCACATTAAGGGGTGCAGCTTTTGAAACTCATTTAAACAGTTTGGTTCGACTGTATATGTTAGGTTCGCGTGGATTGATCAGTGAGGCTTAGCAACCAGTAGCGCTAATGCTCGCCTACGCGTTTGGCTAACAGCTACTGTATCAACTCTTTTTGTACAATTTCATTGCTTGTTTATGCACTATGCCTGCTGTGAACGTTGTTTTTGCACTATTAACCTATTTCAAGTGTTGAAACATCCTTGAGAACAAGTCTGTTAACTCTCTTGAATGATCTCATTCCACGCAGCCACCCCCATTCCACGTTGTAACTTTGACACAGACTCACTGACAGCGTAAAAGGGGCAAATGTGTCTTTGTGTTTTTGTCCAAACAGGAGGTGATTGGCCCTCGTCCACTCCTGTCATCATCGTCCCGCCCACGTCTTCTCCAGTGTTACCCTCGCACAAACGCACCCCGTCTGAAGCGGAAAAATGGCTGGAGGAGGTTTCTAAGTCTGTGCGGGCTCCTCGACCTGACCCCATCCTGGCAGCGGCCCCAATGCCCGCCCCGCCGTTCACCGCTCCCTTGGCCCCCTTACCCCCGGTGGCGTACGTGCCCCTGCTGCCCCCGCGTCAGACTGCTTTCCATCCCATGTCCAACGGGCTGTCCTTCCCACAACCCAGCGTGCCCGTGGTGGGCATCACCCCCTCCCAGATGGTGGCCAACGTCTTCGGCTCAGCCGCGCAACCCCAGACCTTTCCCGCCCCGGCACCCGTAGCGCCCCCGGGGCATGTCATCCCAGGCCCCTTCATCAAGCCTCCGCCGTCGCCCGCCGCCGTCAGCGTGCACCCTCCCAACGGCAGCGGCAACTTCAACGGGGCGAACAATTGGGCTGTTCCGCCCCACCCGCCCGCCACCTCCTTGCCCGCTTCAGCCGCCCCGCAGCAGCCACAGGAAGATGCCTTTGAGGCTCAGTGGGTGGCGCTGGAGGGGCGCTCGCACCAGCGCACGACGCCGTCTCCCACCAACCCCTTCTCCACTGAGCTGCACAAGACTTTTGAGATCCAGCTCTGATGACTGTGCCTGCCTGAGGAAGCGAGGGGAAAGGGATGTTCTCCATGTTGGGGGTGGTGCGGGGTAGTGGTGGTCACGAGACGATGGGGGGGTGGCAGTGGCGGGTGGTGTCATCAGAGAACCCGCCACCCCCTCCAGAAAAAAAAAAACATGCTGCTGTTCCTCACGATTCTCATCAGCATTGCCTGTGCTTGTTTGATCGTCCTGTGGAACTCCACTAACTACAACTACCACCGCCACCACCTCCTGTAAGCCGCTTCTTACCCACTCAATTCTCAACCTTCCACCAACCTCACCCGACTGGAAGAGTAAAGCAAGACAATGCCAAAATGTTTATTTTTATGCATTAAGTATATTTTAAATAGCTACAGATTACAACCGTCATCTTGCCAAAGGCACAGAATAGCGACGAATTAACGTGTGTGTGTGGGTGAGCGTGTGCGTGCGTGCGTCTATATGTGTACTTTGTATTTATATGGGCCGTGTATCTCTCCAATAAAGGATGATTTGATTTGATGCGTATCCCATTACATGGGGTGCGATACAATTCATAGACAGTTTATTTTAAAGAAACTATTTGATTTGGTTCGTTTCACTGGGATTGCGAATCGATTCAATATGGTACTGCTGAGTTCAGTAGGGTATGATGCAATGAGTTTCTTGTCATTTTACAATATGAATGAATTTGTCATCCTAACTGTGGCATTTCCTTCAAAGATATATGTCTCCAATAAAAGGTGATTCGACACACATCTCCATATATTTTATAGTGGAACAATTCGGTTCAGTTCGATCCACTCACCTCTTTTAAATCATATACGATTTTCCGATTCAAATTGTTTTTTGTCACACCTCTAAAAATATATATATATATATATATAGTATATATAAAACATATGTAATATATGTTTCATATATGTATATTATACATATATATGTATATTTTACCGAAATATAAATATATAAAGAGTCTCACACAGCAGTGCTCATTTTTAATGTGATGTAAAGAGATTTTGTGAAGGGACAGCTGCTTTACTTTTTGGCGTGTTTATTTTATTTAATTTTTAGTCTTTGTGGGCGACCGTAAATAGGGCGTCATTACAGCAACAATCAACAAGGACCGAGCGTCAACAGCAGCAACAAACGGCGAGTTTACGTTTTAACCTTTTACATTTTTTGCGCGGGGGGGGGCCACGTCTACCACTCATCTCCACCCCCCCCCCAAAAAAAAGTACGTAATTGCTCGTGTTTGATTTTGCACGAGCGCCAATGACTTAAGATAACTGGACCTCCTCCACCGGCCCACTGCTCAAGGGTTAAAAGGGAGACGACGACAAACCGAAACTAATGCTTTCCATTTCTCGCTGTTTGTTGTTATTTTTTTATTTTGAAATCAAACCCTGTGAATATAATCTTTTCTGATCTATTTTTCCATTTTGTAATTCTTTCACGAATTGTCCAATCGTCTGGGGAGATCTTGAAAGTTAAAAGGTTGAATAAATTATGGTGATAGAGGACAAACTGTCGTTGCTTGTCATGAGTTTTCAGTTTAAGTAATGCTTAAAAAAAAAGACCGGTATTTTTACGTCTGCTGTATTGTTAGTTCTCCTATCCGGGTGGTGGCGCTAATGAGACCTCAGTGCCGCGTTGCAGCACCTCTGGTGCCGATATAAATAGCACCAGGAAGCTCACCGACGAGTTTATTAGAAAAAAAGATAAATGTATGTGTGCCCGGAGACGGTGGAGTCTTATTTAACGGAACGCACCGAGGTACGCCTGCTTTATTCAATAATAACTCTTTGTGTTGGTTTGTTGTGACACCCAATCGCTGCGTTGGCAGAAGCCAGCGCGGGCGAGGCTTAGCTAGCGGCTAACGTTGCTAGCCAAACATGAATGCAGTCCCCCCCCCCTCCCCCTCGCCCACGTTAAGTAAATGTAACATTTAAAGCTGCGTTTTCTCGTGGAAAATGTGACTACATTGTGCTCGCTTTAATATTTTGTTTATCTAACAACGTTAGCTCGACAGTTGTGTAATTTTGTCAAATTTTATCCAGAGGGGTGCAAAGATTTTGTTTTAAGAAAGAAAAAAAAAACAACCGCTTTTATGAAGCCAGAATACAAAAAAAAGTCGTATCTTCTCACATTGCTGATATGCAGTTCTACACCGAAGCACTTTCGCCAGACCGATCGTTCGTTGAGAATTGTTTCCCCCTGCCCCTTTTAATCAATTAGGAATTTCTTGGCATGCTTGTCTTAAGAATTTCCACGTCGTCACGAGTGTTTGGTTTTCTTAATTATACTTTAATCTCTGACAGCACACCGGAAGAAGTAATCCATTGGGGTGAGGCGTGGTGGCCAAAAGAAAATAATTATTCAAAAGGTAAGTAATAAATGACTCTGTTTAACTCTTAAAACAGTTGTCAACCAGCTTTTGGACAACACAACCCTGTATGTAATTAGAATTTGAAGGAGGAGGGGAAAAAAGTATGAACAACAGTCTGCTTCAATTAATTCCACACAATTGCATGTTCTTTATTGGACATACCATGTAGACCTTATGCAAGTTAGACAAAATAAGTGAATGCTGGCCAAGGCTCCTGACTTCACTAAAAGCTAATCGTAGTCAAGAGTCACCCAGACTTCAATCAATGTGATGACATTGAACGTCTGTGCCATCCTCTTGTAGTCATCTTTCCAGGACGGCCACTCCAGAGGGAAATTAGCAACAGCGTTGAACTTTCTAGGGTAGGGCAGCTTTAACCATCACTTTGTATTTCGTCACACTGATTGGACTGATAGCTCTTGAATTAAGTAATTTTCCCGCCCAACTCTGTAACTGTTTACATAGCGTGTCTAATAAAAGCATGAACACATGTCAATGTTTGTGTGGTATTAGTTGAAGCAGTTTTTTTTTTCTCGTATGATTTGCAATGATTTGAAAATGTGTGTTCTCTAGCTACAGCATGTAACTTTTTCACCCGTCTTTTGAAATTGTCTCACCACTGTTTGCAGAGAGATGCAGTGTGGCTCCGCATTCCCAAAGTACATTCAGCTGAAAGTCCACTGACAAAGGACAGGTACCACATCAGACATATTTTATTAATATAAATATGTGAGATTGTTGTCAAGTTGAGGAAGTAGCCAGAACTTGCCAGAAATGAACTTTTCCTTGAATTGCCTGAAAACACACTGATGCTCGGTCCATTTATTGAACATGACAAACGGCCAATCAAAATAAATAAATGACAACACTCGCAACAAGCTGTCATATGCCACCACTCACTCACAGCTGGTCACATACAGACTAAACAGCCAACCAAACTCCAGCTCTTAAGGCCACTCACTAGGCCACGATATTAGACAGGGTTTTGGCGGTGTTTCAGAAAGAGCAGGAAAAAAGAAATCGGTGAATTTGTCAATAGTTTACTGCGCATTTGTGTGGGACTACTGTACACCCAATTAGAAAGTCACTTTTAGTTTAATTCAACTCTCCACGGGAACAGACGTGATGTTCAAGGAGGCCATTTTGTGTTTCGAAGTTCTGACACGCCTGGTGATGGCTCACCAAGGGCCACTCCTCGCCATCATCACGACACTTCTCGGCGCCACCTTTGGCGGTCTTCTCGTGTGGCGAGTGCTCAGCACCAAAAAGAAGCGGCCGCCCTCCACCCAGAGGGAAACGCCGCTTCCTGTCGCCGCACAATCCGCCCGGCGCCCGCCGCATGAGGAGATTGAGACGGCAGAGTGTGAGAAGACCTGCGCGGCCCCTGCGGTGTGCATTCCGTCCTCTGAGAAGCTGCTGGCGGTGATGCCGGTGACGGTGAGCTCCGCCGAGGAATGGCGGCAGCTGTGGCCGCCGATGCGGGAGGACCTGGTGGCGGTCCCGGTACTGGGACTCGACTGCGAATGGGTAAACATCAAATAATTTTAGGAAGAATCAACTGGGGGTTTGGGGGTCTCATCAATTGTATCGTTTCTCAGATTTCTGGAGTCCTCCATGAAAACAAACTTTTTTTTTTTTTAACTACATAGCCTAACTTGGGGAAAAAAAGCCGCTGTTTCGCGACAGAAAATCTTGAGAATGAGTCATAATTTTAAAATGCCATCTTACAAATGTCAAACTTGAGTCAGAATTCACTACTCATGGAGGAGAGTTGCAAAATTCAAGAAAACATTGCAGTGATGGTTGGAAAAAGTTACAAAAAGGGTTATAATAGTTTTGGAATTTTCATGGTACTTTGTTATTTAGTTTTGAGTTTTTTTACGTTTAGTTGGTTTTCAGAGCAGACTTTTTCTGTTTTTTTTTTTGGTTTTTTTTTAGTTTTAGTATTAGTTTAACATTTTAAAAACAGTCCTCCACAAATCAAATGCAGCTATTGTATCACAGTCTGCAGACTTTGAGGTACAAGAAGTGCGGTACGTCATCCCGCTTCTCAAATTGGGTGCGTGACAACCCGAACCTGAAAAAAAGCCAGCACGGTCTCACTTTACATCCCTTGATTGCCCAGTTGCCAACTTCCGAAGTGGATTTGTGGCTAAAATTCTTGTTGAGAAGTATTAAAAAACGGTTGTACTGTGTCCTGTTTTGAAAAGGAGAGCACTTAACTACTTTCACGTTTTGGGCTGAGTTATGACTGTTCAATCTTCACTCTTGCTACTCACGGCCGTGCTGTCCACTGAAATACATTTAATTGAAAATCAACCGCAAAGGCTCGTGTATTAAATGAATCGCCCAAGATTGAAAATGAAGTTAATTGTTGCTCTTTGCACAGGTGTCAGTGAACGGCCGCGCCCAGGTGGTCTCCTTGCTCCAGCTGGCGTCTTATTCGGGGCGCTGCCTGCTGGTACGGCTTTTGGCGTTCAACGGCGCGCAGCTTCCGCCGGACCTGGCGGAGGTCCTGCGCGACCCGCGCGTGCTGAAGGCGGGCGTCGGTTGCCACGACGACGGCAAACGCCTGACTCGGGACTTCGGGCTGTCGCTGACATGCACGGTGGACCTGCGCCACCTCGCCCTGAGACAAAAGTGAGTTCGCCGTCGTTTGTTGTCAATTTTTTTTGTTTTGTTTTCCCTCAAGCGTTTTTGACCTTTTTTTTTTTTTTTCTTTCCCAGACAAGTGCCGGTGAGTAACGGACTTGGCCTGAAATCGCTGGCAGCCGACGTGTTGAATATTTCGCTGGACAAGTCGCTGGAACTGCGTTGTAGCGACTGGGAGGCGGACAAGCTGACGCCGGAGCAGGTTCTTCTACGCTCATTTTTATCTTATTTTTTTAATTCTTATTTTATCTTATTCTTATTTTCCCACGGTTGTGGATTTTTTTTTTTTGTTTCCTGATTCTGTACATTCAATGTTGTTTTTGTATTCTAATTATTTTTATTTTTATTTTAAATTAAAAACATATAGTAGTTTATCTTTTTTATATATATATATATATTTTTTTTTATTTATTTGATCTTTTTAGGTGACAAACACATTTTATTTTAGGATTATTATTGCTTGTATAAATGGAGTTATTTTTAAATATGTTGAGGAAAAAAAAACGCAGTTTGCTTTTCAGTTTCTTCGGGAATACAAAAAATTTGTACTTTTTAGATGTTTTTCACCTCCAACTCACTCTGCAGCAGTCTGATAACACTCCTGATCATTCGACTGTCACTCAGTAAATGTGAAAAAAAAATAATTTTTTTTTTTTTTTTTTTTTTTTTTTGTCTTAACACCCATGTCCCACTGATATGGATTTTTTAAATGCATATTATGCACAGAATTTTACAGTATGCCAATGAATGAATACCTGGTTGTTTTTAATTTAATTTTTTTTTAGATGACATACGCCGGCAGGGACGCCCAAGTGTCGGTCGCCCTCTTCTTCCACCTGCTCGGCCTGCGCCCAGAAGCCCACCCCGCTTCAGCCAACGGGCTTTCCTACGCCGCGTTGGCCGCCCGCTGTCAGGGGTTGTTGGACGTGCCCTTCAGGGGTCGCGGGGGCGCCGAAGAAACGGACGAGCACGACGGCGGCGGCGGCACATCGCGGACGAGACGAATGCGCATGCCCCTGAAGGGCACCTCCTCGACCCCTGAGAGCCCAGCGTCTGGAGATCAGCGAGTCCCAGACCCCAGAAAGAACAACAGAAGGAAACCGCTGGGCGTGGGCTATTCTGCGAGGTGAGCTGGAGTCCAGGTAGACATTTTGCTTGTTGTTGCCAGTGGCGCTTTTTCAAAATAGCGAAGCACATGACAAAAAAAAAAACAAACAAACCTTTACGCGTCATCTGACCGAGGCAGAAGAAAACGGGCTCGTGGACTGAACAGAGGTGGCGGATCCAGGAAGTAAAAACCTGTCACAATTTGAATTTAGCCGTAGGCGCTTCCCACTCAACAGGCAGCAAAACGACGTTAGGCTTCTTCTTGGCCCCTAAAATTTGAATGTGTGAAAAGTCAGGGAAATGGAATCAAGGCATGTATGTATGATTCACGTTGAGATTTAAAAGTAAGTTGTGGTCAGTCAGTGGTTTTCGGTAAATCCCTTGGGAATGTTTGCCACTTTTTTTCTTGTTTTTAAAAAAAGGCTTAATTTTAGTTACCGGTATTAGGCTTTTGTAACGTGTGACAAACTCAAAAGGATTTTTGTAAAAATGTACTCAGATCAACCCCACACACTATGTATGAAATAAATCGACAGATATTTTATTTTTGACACTTTAGCTTTGTGAAGTCAAAGTTGACATGTTTGATTTGCTTTCGCGGGCCACATAAAATGATGTGGTGGGCCAGATCTGGCCCCCAGGGCTTGAGTTTGAAACCGGTGCCTTCAAGGTTTGCTCCCTGGTCTTTCCGTGTCGAGGTGGCTACTCGGCCACCTCGGCGGCTTTTGATCCTCCGCACATTTCCGTCCGCATCCACTTGACTGAGTTTCTTTTGACTCGCTTCAGGTTAGCGATGGTCACTTGCATTCTGCAATTTGAAGTTCCTCCAGTATGTTTTGACAAACTTCCTGAAGATGTCTCTTGAAGTGAGCTAAGACGTTTGCTGTCGTGCCGCAGGAAGTCGCCGCTGTACGACAACTGCTACCTGCACGCCCCTGACGGGCAACCGCTTTGCACGTGCGACAAGAAGAAAGCCAAATGGTACCTGGACAGAGGAATAGGAGGTACAACTTTTTTTTTTTAACTCCATCGCTGTGAGATGTGCAGTTTGCTCGTCACAGATTTTCCTTTTTTTTTGGGCACTCGAGTTTATCGGGTGTCGTGATGGACACAATTGTGGTATAAGTCCGGGCTGCTGTATCACAAGCGGTTCAAAGTTGCTCCTAAGATAGTGGAGGAAGAGAAGAGCTGCAAATTTCCTGTTCTCCAATGACCAGAATAGCATCACGACTCTTCAGACTCAATCTGTCGACCGAATTAAAGGTAGCGCGGTCGTCAAGTGGTCACCGTGCTGTTTGGTGGCGGGGCGTGTACTACGTTCAACACGGACCACAGGAAGTAAATGAGAGAGTGATACAAACGCGATAAAAGCAAAAGGCTACAAGGTCACCTTCATGCGGCTTGATTCTTCCTGTGACGACTCCGCTTGCGCATATTTGTCCGAAGTTTTAAATGGTTACAAAAGGGCCCAGAACAATTCCCAAAGAAATGAAAGGTAACCTTGGGAGTTCCGGGATCCTGGCACGTCGGAGTCACATCGCAGCATCAGACTACGTTTGAATGCGTCGCATTCCGGATGTGGCGCTTGTGTTCCAGAGCTCCAGAGTGAGGATCCGTTTGTGGTGAGGCTTCTGTTTGAGCCGTCGGGACGTCCGGACTCCAATCAGGACTACTACCTCACGGCCAAGGAGAACCTCTGCGTGGTCTGCGGGAGGGCAGACTCCTACATCAGGTTTGAGTTTGACCATAAATCCCTTCAACAACAAAAAAAAAAAAAAATTAGTCCAGTAGACTTTTTAAGGTGACTTGAAATTAGATCTTAAAATTGGGGTTCAAGCCAGGGTTTGGGTTTCAAGTGACGTGTTTTTAACCCACTGTTGGTGTTTAAAAAAAAAGGCTTGAGGCCAGAGTGAAGGTTTCAAGTCCGCGTTTGAGTTTCGAAAATAGGCTTAAGCTTTTGTAGATGTTCAGTAACGTTGACTTGGCATCGGCGCGATGACGTAGCAGTCAGTGTCATGTCATCTGCGGTGCCGCCCCTCCTCAGGAAGAACATCGTCCCCCACGAGTACCGGCGGCACTTCCCCAACGAGATGAAGGATCACAACTCCCACGACATCCTGCTGCTGTGCACCAGCTGCCACGCCGCCTCCAACGTGCACGACGCCTCCCTCAAGCAGCAGCTGGCCGACGACTTTGCCGCCCCGCAGGGTTGCGAAGAAGGCGTGCGGACCATTGAGGACCCGGACCGGCGCCGGGTGCGCTCGGCGGCCCGCGCCCTCCTCACCGCCGGCGAGGGGCTGCCCGAGTGGCGGCGCAACGAACTGCTGGCGCTCATCAGGAACTTCCTGGACGTGAGCGGCGAGCGAGAGCTGACGGGGGAGGAGCTTCGGCAGGCCGCCTCCTTGGAGACCAGGTGAGCTATTGCGCACGCGTCGCTGGGGAAAAAGATTCGGGTTTGAAGATGGGATTAGGGTGATTCAGTTTTCAAACGAGGTTTGCTCGGCTGGGTTAGTGTTTTGGAATTTGCGTTTCACGTCAAGAGTGAACCTAACCCAATCCTGGGTTACATTTTCAAGATTTGGGTTTTAAATTTGGATTTCCAAACACAACTAAGGTTTCCAATTTAGGCTCCCAATCTTATTTTAGCGTTTCAAGATATGATGAAATTAGCAAAAATATTGGTTTTGGATTACAGGCCCAAAAAGATGTTTTTTTTTTCAGTCCTGGGTTAGTTTTCCAATTTAGAGTAGGATTACAGGCCCAAAAAGATGTTTTTTCAGTCCTGGGTTAGTTTTCCAATTTAGAGTTTCAAGATATATTTAATATTTTAAATTAGGGATCCCAAACTGGGTTAGTTTTGAAGTCAGTTGAGGGTTTCAAGCAAGGGTGACGGTTTCAAGATGCACTTCACGTTTGAAAATGAAGTTTGCTTTTCAAGACACAATTAAGGTTTTAAATTAGGTTTCCAAACCTGAGTTTGGGTTTGAATTATTGTTTCAAGAGCAGGTTACGGTTTGGGCTTCAAATCGGTGTTTCAAATTCGGGTTGCAAACCTTCAGCCTACATTAGCTTGCATTGAGGGTTTAAAACCGGCTTTCGGGTTTCAATTTAGGATTTTGAGCGAAGATTAGGGTTTCAAGATGAGGTTAGGGTTTCAATCCAGCTTTGACGTTGACATTTTTAGAAGATTTCAATGTGGGCTTGGCTTTCCTAGAAATCAAAGGTGTGACTCTCTCTCTCTCTCTCTCTCTCTCTCTCTCTCGCTCTCTCTTCAGGATTTCAAACGAGGCGTACGTGCCTCATGGCCTGAAGGTGGTGCGCGCCTACGCCGAGCGAGGCCCGCGCGGCCTGATGGAACTGGAGCGGCGCTGGAGGGAGCACTTCCTGTCCTCCATGCACCCCAAGCACCTTCCCCCGCTTTGGTGCGTGCAACACAACCACCTCAAGCTGCTACGCAAGTACGGAGACGACCTGCCCGTCAAAGTCAACTGAATGGCAATCGCCACATCGCGGTAGGAGTTTGCTTTTTTTTTAAAAAAAGAAGAAAAAAAAGGAAAAAAAGATGGGACACTATGAATTTGTGAAATTTACAAAGATTTTTTGTTTTTGTTTTAATAGACACGCAGCAGCCTGCTCTTAATCTTGACACATTGCAGGTTAGCGGCTAATGCTAACGAGGGTCATCCTTAATGTTTCTTGTCGCTCTCGCTCGCTTTTCTTTTCCACGTCTTGCTCAATAGATCAAGTTGTTTTTTTTTTTAAATGTCATCTTTTTGGATCCCCTTTTATTTATTTGAAGATGAGGTTTCACAGTGACACGGGGAGCAACGCTTTTTTTTTAGTGCTAAAGTTTCTTGTTGCTCCTTGCCCCGCTTCATTTCTGCTCGTCAACGTTTCATCTTTTTGGATCCCCTTTCAGTTATTTGGAAATAAGATTTTGACCAGCCCTCGCAGTGGATTTGGGGCTTTTATTTTGTGCTTCCTTGTCCACTTCCCTCGACTAATGTCCTTTCAGTCAATAGGTCATGTAGCGTGCTTTAAAAATGTCAATTTTTTTTTTTTTCCCCCCTCTTTCAACTTTTTCCAAGATGAAATTTTGACTGGCGTGTCTGAGTCCGATGGCGGTGTGGTGACACTGTTCCGCTCTTGAAAATGTAAACTTTTTGGATCCCCTTTAATTTATTTCCAGGTGAGTTTTGGGGCAAGCGCTGATATTAGGGGCGGAGCAACAGGAATGCTCAATCCTTAATCCCCTCTATTGTCCATTTCAGTCAATAGATCGCGTTGCGCTCTTGGAAAAACTTTTTCTTGGGTTTCCCTGTTTATTTCCAGATGAGATTTTGAGCAACCTAACACAGACGGCGGGGGAGCGACGCTAACAGCTAGCTCGTGCGTAAAAAACGCTTCCCTTCACAGGTGCGGGACGCCTTCCGGGGTCCATGTTTTAGTGGGCCTCCTAGTCCCGTGATGCCCCCCCCCCACCCCCAACCCCACTAGCTCGTTTAGCGTGACAGTGACGACCCTCGGAGGCGTACAGAAAGTGGGATCTTTGTAAATGTGAACGAAACACTGCTAATAAAGTTTGTAATGAAATTGAAAGACGAGATTCCACATTCACTTTGTTTTTATTTCTTTCGTACAAAATCACAGTTTTCATAAATAGTCTGTAAAAGCAGTAAAAAAAAAAAAAAAGTATCAATCGCTTGAAACGATCACATTTATCGTTGTTTACAATTCAAGCTATGCTGGGTTAAGGCCTCGAGATTTTGGCATGAGAATGATCCGTCCCTGGAACTATTTCCCAAAGAGGACAGGACAGATCGTTTCTATAAACGGTCAGTGTCGGAAACTACGGACAACTGCAACAATGGCACGCGAGGGCGGCTGGTTCCAAAAGGGGCTTCCATTCAATTGCCGCCGTTTTGCCTTTGACAAAAATTGGCGGTGGCAAGGAGTGAAAACTCACTCTGACATCTTTTTTTTTTTAACTGCATTCTCATGAAAACCTTGAATGACATTTCCGCTCAAGGTTTTTTACCTGCTGAAGTACTGCATATTCTTACAGCCACCATTCAAAAAGTGAACATATGGGAAGTCACAAGGAGTCCGAAAGGGTTTTAGTCCAAGTCTCACAGTCTGATGGGTCTGATGTGGTATTGGAAAAACTTGTTCAGTCGCTTCATTTGTAGGTTTCGTCAGAGTCCAGCACAGAACACACATTTATTTGATCTCATGGAAGTTCGACGCGAGTCCTAAATCTTTTGTCATTCAAGTTCTGCATCTTAAAGTCCTTTTGGCACAAGTCTCGAGTCACTTGGTATGTACTTGGAGCCCCGCCGTCATGGCCAAAATCCCAAAGTTGCTCGCAAGTCCAAAGTTGTTTGGAGAACTTCCAAAAATAATAATTTAAAAAATTAGTCCCAAGTACCACAGAGCCCACATTATCTGATTAGAATGCTGTATCAAGAAGTGCCACGTGGTTTGGTTGCCGTCTTAAACAAGTCCGAAATAGTTGAGTCCACATTTGGGTCTCATGCAAGTTCTACGCAAGTCTCAAATATTTTGTTAAGAGTTTAAATCCTGTGTCTCGAGTCTCTTGGACCACACAACCAAACCAAAGTACAGATCGATTCACAAAGTTGCTAGTAAGTCCGAAGCCTTTCAGATCAAGTCTCAAGGGAGTCCCGATGGTTATTTTTACCTCGGAGATCTCACATCATTTGGATCGGACTCTCATGCAGGTGCGAAAGTCCTTTTGGTCCAAGTCTATCATGAGTCCCAGTTTACTTGTTCCACGTTGCACGCAGGTCCGTTTGTCCAAGTCGACATCATCCGACAACAAGCGAAAAAAAATCCTCCGGGTCCTCTGCCTTCATTCTGGAGACATTATTGCTTTATTTAAAAAAAAAAAAAAACATCCAACCTTGTTCTGGTCTCTCTCTCACTGGGACAGAAGACCGCAAACTTTGTTTTTCACAGGTTGAGCTACGATGTGTTCTAGCAGTGGTCCAGGTTTCCCGAAAGGACCCCAAAGTTGCTGGTGTGTTTGTGGGGCGGCCGGGGTAATGAGTTCTTTGGAGTTAGTTTGACTTGAAACATTGGCACACGTTGTAAAAATAAATACCCTGGAAGTTTGGCACTGCTGGGAAAGAATTATTTTTTAAAAAACCTACTGTTAAACAGACTTTTTTCGCACATATGTACACCAAAAATGTAGTATCTAACACCGACGGAACCGTCCATGGTGCTTTTTCGTTGTCATATTTCCAAACAAGCAATCAAAATCAATCCATGGATCATAATACCTTCCATTTTCAATTGGCAATCAAAGCTCAACATCCAAAATGGCGAAAGTGACTCATTTAGTCAGATTTTAATTTTTCAATCTAACACGCGAAAAAAAAAAACAAAGGCCCAATCACCCCCCCCCCGCACTATTCGAATTTTTGACTCCGATCAAAAAGACAAAATGGGCAGTTACGTATTTTTAAGTGAACAACGGCATTAATTTATTCATTTCACTCTTTCACTCATTGTGTTACATCTTCCTACCGTATTTAGCGCTCCCCCCATCATTTTAATGACTTCTCATTTCTGTATGTATGCCCGCTTCTGTCGAGGGTATTTTATTTCATCTTTTCAAGATGAACTACAATTCATTGAGAAATTTACATCGGACATGAGTTTGTGTATATGGGAATTTGTACACGCCCTCTCGGCTTCATTTCCTCCTTGCATTGTTTTAAAATTGTAGTAAATACACAAACCGAAGCAAAATTCTCCCGGTTTACGGCCACTGGAGACCGACGTTCGCCAGGCCAAAGGTTCTTGTCATGACCTATAGAGGCCAACAGATGGCAGCAAAGGACTGCTTAGGCCGAAAGAGCTCATGTCGGGTCTTAACTCGGTTCAACGTGCTCGCGAGTTGGCATAGAGACGCCACCAGATGCTTAAGCAGAAAAATAGTAAATAACAAAGATTGGATTCCCAAAAATATCAGCGAATGCCGAACCGCGATTACATTAACGCTTCAAACACATTTGTTCTTGATGTACTGCCATTTAATGGCTCGTGGTCCTGACTGATTTTGGCTGTGAACGAGATAACGTATCTTTACGAATGCGCCTTTCCAAGCTTCCAGGTCACGTAAACGCGACCTATTAAAATATCAAAACCCGACTACATTTCCCACTTCGTATTTTTGATCTGAGCCAAAACTGAACGATGAAAATTTGTCCGTTTTTTTCCCCCATTTTGTGTTGGATTTAAAAGCAAACAAAAATGTGTCACCGTTTCAATTGTCAATTTAAAAAAAGGGGAAAAAACATGAAAGGTACGTGGATTAAAATCCTCCTAGACAACAGACAAAAGTCAAGCTTTTGGTTAGCTCACCGAGGAGTTCCTACGTGCCAGCGGAGCCTCACAAGTGACCCCTCAAAGGTGCTGGTGACGGGCTGGCGAGGGGGCCCGCCGACTGTCCCTGCAGGCGCTGTAGCTCCAGGATGCTGTCGATGGCGCTCTGCAGATGTTCGCTGAGCAAGCTGTCTTCTCGCAAGGAGCCGAGCGGCGGGCTGAGGGGCGGCGGCGGCGCGTCCAGCCTGAGGCATTTAACCCTGGGGGTATCCGGTGGGCTTGGCGCTGGAAGGTCTTTCTTTTTGGATTCTGCTCCATTGGGGATCTTGTCATCGCGGCGAGAATGCCGCGACGCTCCGTTGGCGGCGCCGCCGCCGCCATTGGACAGCTGTCCCGCGCGGTCCCGCTTGAGCCTCGAATCGCCGGCGAAACTGTGCGCCACCTTGCGAGAGCTGCACTCTTGCTTAATGGTGAGCCTGAGAGCTCCACGCGAGCTGGAGCGGTACGTCTTTAACCCAGGCGGGCGGTTGGACAGTCTGGTCCAGGCCGGGATGGGGGCCTGGGATGGCGGCGGAGGCTGCGAGGTCCCCGACTGGTGCGAGGAAGATGCTGGTGAGGTCAAGGACATCAGGAAAGACTCTGGAATCACAAGTTGAGTTCTCTATCAGCACAATATTTGGACGTTGCATCTTGTGACGATCATGTGAAGCGAAACAGCGAAGCAGCGCCGTGACCTTGTGATTAGCACATCTGCCTCTGAACCAAATGCATCGTGTTTGCGTATCGCTAACCTGGGTCTCTGTGTGCCCGCCGTCTGTCCTCTCCCAGGGAAAAGCGCTCCGCCTGCAGGAAGAGACACTCCAGCATCACCATCTCAGCGGACGGACTCTCCTGCTGCGGGAAACGCTCTGGTTTTTAATTTTATTGATGTTTTTTTTTCACCAGAGCAGAAACTGACAAATAATCGCGTTGTTTCTGTTTGTTTACCCATGTTTCCCTGACCAGTAGCTGCCTGTATTTGTTCACCATGTCCTTGGTGCGCTTGAGCAGGAACCCCGACGCTGCGTCGAACTCCTGGTCCACTGCAGGAGGAACAAGATCACAGTGACATTCAGAGGCGAGATTCATGGGGGGGGGGGATACAGATCGAACCCGACTGCTCGATAGCAAAAAAAATGAAAAAAGGCAAGTGAGTAACCGAACATCTAGTGGCATCTTTGAAATTACTCTTGCGGCGTCAACGTGGACAATGATGATGTCAGCCAACCTAAAGCTAAGTCCTCCTGAGAGGGCGAGTGTCCGGCGCAGACGTGGTACGGCAGCAGGCGGCGGGCAGCATCCGTCAGAGTGCAGAAGGCCGGGCCGGCGCGCGGGTGCTGGACCGCCAGGTGGTCCGAGCAAAGCAGCTGCTGGAACCTGAGAAACAGTCGGGATGTTGTTGTCTTTTAAAAACGCAGTAGCACAGGTTAGAGAGTCCAGTTTTTTTTCATCCGTGCTATTCATCCCAGCAACAGAAGAGTCCATTCATTTAGCCAGTGTAGTTTCAGTTAGTCTTTGTTTTTCCAAAAGCATTTTTTTGTTTTTCATTTGTGAACCAAAACATCTTTTTCAATTTTAAATGGCATTAGTCTGTTTAGTTTCCGTGAACTCCAATACTTTTGGGTTGCCACCCGCCACTACAATCGGTGTGATGAAAAGGTCTATTTGGCCTACCCGTCAAGACTATCCCACCTGTGCTGTCGGGTTGCTGGTGTGATGGTTTCCTCCGGCTGCAGCTTCGCGTCTGCCAGCTGTGTCGTCCCAATGACAAAAGGAGGAATTACGGGAGAGAATTTTTGAAATGGCACGCAGTTTTCATTTTCCCCAAACCTGCTGGTTTCCTCGCTCGGGGCCGCTCTCCCCAGGAGCTGGCAGTGCGCCCCAGTGGTGCTCCTGGATGCTGGGAGAGGGCGACCGGATGTCGGGCGTCAGTACGTCACTCTCGATGACCAAGGCAGCTGTCGGTGCTGACACGAGAGGACAGTGTTGCTTCCATTTGTGTACAAATG